TACATCCCCCTCGCAAAGGTTTTTCGAAAATAACTCGCGTAAAAAGCGGTCGGTCGTGACGAAACTTTAGGCACACTCGATTCATTCACCTAACCCACACCCCACTGGGGGGGGGGGGCTATTCATAGCCCCCCTCCCGTTTTTCTGCAATAACTTCCAAACCGCTTGACGTATCGACGCTAAACATTCAGTACCTTCGGCTGCATCAATTCGACACCTTGTGACAAAATATAAACTTCTTAGCTACCACAGGTCAGCCGGAGATGACGTCAGAGTGACGTTATGTTCGGCCGATTTCGACGCAAAACATTGAACCACGGCAATCGCTCCCAAGAGCTCAGTTTTTAAGCTAGATCCAATTGCTTTGCATGAAAAGACTCAGGATAGACTGCGCTATCAAACTGCATTCTCGGATTTCCAAAATTTTGAAAATTTCGAAAATTTTATATAATAAAATTCAAAATTTATATTTTTATATTTTTTCGAAAAGTTTTTGACTTTTCGAAAAAAACCGGAATACATGTGATAGAACGTATGCCTATGACTAACTCTAGCAAATTTTAGCTAAATATCCTCAAAAATGGCCAAGCATTATTGGAAAAAGTTCACAATTATTAATTTTTCAAATCAATTTTTCAGTACGTATTTGACATCGTACACCAATATAAATAGCACCATCGTGTTCCTGAGCTCGAACTGCATCCATTAGACACCTTTGATGTTGAAAAATTTTAACTTCAAAATTTGACCTTTTTTGACCTGAAAGTGACCTGACCTAAGCTAAATTCGACTCGAAATGACCTCGAATTACACAAACGACATCAAATTCGAAATCTATGGCCTAAATGGGTCATAAAACATGTGTCACGTGACCGACGCATGATGTAATATTTCCGTGACCTGTGATGACCTGACCCTGACCTGAAAATCAAAGTACAAATTTGGTACCCTCAGGGTATCTAGAGCATCTGTTCACGAGTGTGTAAACCAAACATGAGCCTGATTTGACTTGTAAGACGGCGGCCAGAGCCCAAAATGTGAACAAGCCAAAATGCTACTAATTTTTACTTTGACCTGACCTGTGACGTCATCGGTGACCTCGAAAAAACAGAGACACCAAATTTGCACAGAGGTGAGATTTCCTGTGGGCCCATATGCCCTGTAAATTTGGGATTTCTTAGTGCCATAGGAGCCAATCGCCAGGGGGTCGTACCCCTCCCCCTCTCTCAGCCGTCCGCGTTATGAAAAAGGCCCTCGCCTGGTGAGGGCTAATACCAATGCAAACTCCCAAATAAATAAATCATCGGATGAGCTGCTAAATTGATAGGTATTAGGTAAGTTATATCTGAATGTACTCGTAAAAGGGAAGCAAAAAGGAAACCATTAACCACCAAAAACACAGTTGTTTGCAAATAAAAATTGCTTTTAGCTTTAACCCTCGCCGGCACAGGCCATTTTGAGTCCCTCGATGGCACAAGGGGGGGGGGGTTGTTACGACCCCCCTCGCGTTTGGCCCCTGATGGAGCTAGAGCTTCGCGGAAAAAAGAGCGTGTTGCCCGTCACGAGAAGAAGCCAATGATACCCAATTTTAAGGTCCTAGGTCACCGGTTGACCTTCCAGGTCAGGTCAATGACCCAAAAATCGGAAATATCGGGACCTATTATAAAGTCGTAAAGCGTGGCTGCTAAGGGTTTTCCGGGGTGCTGATCACAAATATCGTGTTAGTTTTGATCACAGATGATGTCCTTAAAGGGAGATAATGAGTTTTTTTTTCTTAAATAGAAATTACTTGACATCTATACTATTTCTACTGTAGTTTCTATAAAATATGAAAATTTCCTAGCACATTTTCGTATGTGAAAAAGGTTTTTATTTTTGCAAAAAAGAAGCAGTACTTGCAGTACTTGTAACACCCACCGAAATGCGTTGTCCTTCTCTATAAAAAAGTCGCAGTATATGGCGCTTTTGTTTCAAACAGCGACGCTTGGGTTTTTGTTTATGTTATCGCCTTGTCGTTGCTTGGTTGTAAGGATTCTAATTTGAATTAGAGTTAATTCGGTTTAGAATTAATTAGATTCTAATTCGGGGGTACATAGTGCCTACTCTTCTTTGTTTCGGCATGCGGCATGCGGCACAAATGAACGGCATGCGCCAGAAACGCAGCCAAATCTTGCGATTGCGACTACGAAATTCATTATTTTGGCGTCAGAGCCTGAAGCGAAAAATACAAGCATATTTATTTCAAAAAGACTTCAGGTTTGTCGAACGGTGTTATGAGAATTTTGATAACAGTACTGCATAAGTTTTTCAGTGATGCCGCAAAAGTGTTGTATCTATCTTCTTTTATTGTGCAGTCGGCGGGACCGATTCAAAATTGAGTCGTTGCTACTAAAATAGCAGCATATGGCGACAGATGATGAACAGGAAAAATAGTTGCGTAAATTTAGACATAAACCACCCCCAAACCATGAATATCTTTTGAAGGCACTATAGACGACCATTAACTAACTAGATGTGATGAAGATCAAATGTAAGGAATACGCTCATTTTACAAAATTACATGCAAGTACCAAAAAGTGATGTAAGTACTTATTCAACGGTCATTTTCAGCGCTCCCCGCTAACGTGACTTCAAGTTGAGATATTTGCGGCAATGTACCGAATTGAGCAAAATGGTTTTAATTTACATTATAACTTGTTGTGTTTTGTCAGAAAATGGTCCTAACTCAGATTTTGTGGAAAAAGGTCATTATCTCCCTTTAAGCGTTTAGACCAGGTCGGGTCAGGTCAGGTCAGGTCAGGTCAGGTCAATCGGTAGGGGTCGTGACGGGTATTCGTTATACCTGTCATCCGCCTCTGCCAGCTTCGTAACATGTTACGAAGGCACAAAAACTACTTCGTAAATGTTCAAATGGTTGCTAAATTCGAATTCAGCTCCAAAAACTAGCCTAGAAACATGTAAAACTCGAAAAAGTGAACCGAGGTCACCAAAGGTCAATGACCTGACCTGACCTTCAGGTGACCTTGACACCCACCCTAATGCATGGGAGCAACATCAAATCACATGTTTTGAACGTTTGAAACCACGAAAAGCTTGCAAACGCCCGGCTAATGCGAGCCGACATATACGCCGAATAGCGATTTCGGCCAAACATGGTCACGGAAAAGAGGTCACAGGTCAAAGGTCATTGGGGTCAGGGTCATGAAATCTTCAGGGTAGGTGTAAAATTGATCAATGCGAGGGCACTGAAAGTTTCGTCGCGATCGGCCGCATTTTACGCGAGTTATTCGCGAAAAAACCTTAGGAGGGGTGCCGGCGAGGGTTTAATCGTTTAAGTGATACTACAGGTAATACATAGGTACAGGTCTCGCGGGTTTTAGCGGTAGGTTTTGCACCTAGAAAATTTAGTGTACTTCAGGGTATATCTTCGTCGTCTTAAGCTTTTAAGTGTTGAAGATGTGATCGACTTGTTGGTTCACAAGCCGGCCACGATCGTGTAAAATGGCTTCATCGTAGATCGATTAGTTTCTGAAATATAACCGGAAATTTAAAAGTGCAAAACCTACCGCTTAATCTCGCGAGAGCCGTACCTACCTATACAGATAGAAATATGATAGTTGCATTCAGTATTCAGGCCTTAGCTTGATTACCAATCATGATAATAGTGTTTTGCAAGTTTATATCATTGTTAAAGCAAATGCGCTTTTAAGCAATTTTTAGTAACTTCTGTGACGTTCAACGTTAATGCGAGAGAAATCCTTAAATGTTTTTTCAATGAATTTGCACGAAGGTGATTCATTTTGGATGATGCTGATCGTTGACGGTTGTTCAATAGCTCTAGCTATTGAATAACCACTCTATCTATTCCGTATGGCTTATCATCCATGATCATCTGAACTGAGCTAGTTCGGGAAACACTCCCGCAAAAATCGGTTACACTTGACTTTTTGAATGAGTAAATCCCCAACGAACTTCGCATTAAAGACACATTTAATCCTCTGAGGTCAACCTAGTAAAGTGTAGATCTTGGGGGTTTGTAGGGAGGGGATTTTCGGGAGGGGTGTCTGGGTCGCAACTGGGTCATGACCCCAATCCCGGGAGCCGTGGCCACTCTGTCCAATGTCCATCTTCCACGTCACTTCCGTTCGTTACGTGGTTGGCCACCTCCTGAGACACAATGCTACTATATTGCGAAATATCATCAGTTCCCAAAGTTCCAACGAGGCCCAGCGCCCCGGGCAATCAGTGCTTGAGGCTCTTTGTAGCGGAACGATAATTGAAGTTCCCATTCTATATAAAGACTTTGAAAATGATGACCATCGTCACTCAAAAAGTGAACAGAAAGGCAATCGCCCGCTCCAGACGAGCCAGGTCATCTCTTCCACCCTCGAAAGGTAGCTGTTTTCATATAACTTCAGTCAGTTTCTCTGATAACAGTCTGCTTTCTGTTGCTGCTTTGTATTCCCGTTGAATTTCCTTTAATCTGTTAAACTATTAATTCAGCGTAAAATTAAAAATGACTTTATTTTTGACAAAATATCCTTACGTTATATCAAAACGTAACAGGAAGAAAGATAGAAAAGGCAAAGTATTTTTTAGCTATCAGGTAAAGCACGGAATCACTCGCGAGCTGTTGAACTGAGAACTGAGAACTGCATGTAACTATAATCTTCGAGCATCTTGAACATGAACACTGAGCTGCTGTGCGCTCTTCCCATCACCTGACCTGCCGCCGGTGCCATGTTACCTGGCCACAGGCGACGAACACTGAGGCGACCTCCTCCTGTGATGGGACCCACCATGGCTGACTACACCGGCATCTTCGGACCCAAGAAACCAGTGGCCACCACCACCTCCCAGGGCGGCGGTGGCGGCGTCACCCGTCACCGGACCCCGGGGCGGCCGGCGGCGGCGGCGGCGGCGGGGGCGGCGGCGGGGGCGGCCGGCGCGCTCCCCTGGCTCCTGCTGGCGGCACTGGCGGTGCTGGGCCCGGCGCCGGCGGCCGGCCACTGCCAGTGCGGCCTGCTGGTGATGCTAGAGTCGGCTGGAAGTCGGCCCTGGACTCTGGGCGAGACGGTGATGGAGACGGGACCGCGACCGGCCGACTGCCGCCAGCCCTCCGCCGAGATCGACTGCCTCAACTCCTGCGCCAACACGGTAAATTCAAACGGGGAATATGTGAGCAATTACAATTAAAAATGACAGTTTTTTCAGATGTTGTATACCTACACATGATTTGTGATGGAGACACATGTAGCTCAACCGAACTGTACGGAGGTTCTGTAGTTAATCATTCTAGCTTTTCTTTTGATATCGGTATTTTTAAATACACATGTAATCGTTTTATAAAGCGTTGTGCTGAACAGCGTTTTAAACAAAAACCATAAAAAGAGCAATTGCCTATAGAGATTCGTCTCCACCAAGTGCCTGTTATTTCAATGATTATCTTTTTACCTAATATAATGAATCCGTACTTTTCCTACTTACACGCAAAATGCGGATGACAGTTCAGATAAGTCGTACGACCATCCTCCTGTTTAACTCCTTGGTTTCTTCACCAGATTGGGGCAATAATTGAAACTGACAGGTTAAGAATATCCTGCTAGGCTCTTTACAAGAACAAAGATAGATCGCCTGTTTTCCATTACCTGTTCACGGGTAGCCCACGCAGAACCATGAATGGATGAGCGCACTCCAGGAGCGTCCCCCACAGTGAGATAAGATCAGGGAGCCGGGGGACGGGCCCTTATTTCCGCCCGGCGCGGCGACGGCGCGGTGGCACGCGTGGAGAGACCACTCATTACCTGAGGACACTGCACTTTCGCTTTCCGTAGGCGAAAGTGAAAGTTAACGAGTTTCAGTTGACGTACCAGTACATGCTATTTTAGCAAATCTTCTCTTGTATAGCGTTAAATGTAATCGTCAAGGAGTGTTATCTTGTGTTTTGCTTCTTCTGTTTCACTCTACTACGTTGTAAGGGCAATGGAAATCGTTTGATTATAATCAATGTTAATGTTTTCAGACTGTGGTCCTGACTGGCGACATGAACCTTCGAATGCTGCCTGTTCGAATCTCCATTGAAACTCAACGTCACGTCTGTCTGACTCTTCGACCTCAAGAAACTCGGGTATGTTTTTCATTCCTTTTCTTCTTTGTTTTTGACGCGAAAGTCGTGTTGGCTAGGATTGCTGTTAACCTGATTGGAAGCAATGATAACTATATTTGGTTTGCCACTAGAATCATAAGAGCATTGAATGGAAAACGCTGTAATAGTCTTCTGCGAGGCTAAGACAAGAGCTGTAGGTAGCTTGTTTAGTTGGTTTTATCGTTGTACTATTTAAATCGTTTTAAACCTTAGGCATAGTCTCAGTAGTTTTATCACCGTTTGACTATCTGCCCTGCCATTCCAAGACCTCCGAGCCGAACACCATCGTGGAACGAACTGCTAGACGTCTGTCTGTGGGAGGATTCTACCGCTACTGCTCTCACGACTGGATGCATACCGGTGTCGTGTTTCCCGACAAAATCTGCTGCCTGGAAAACAAGGTGGTCGAGTGAGTACTGACGGTCGACTGTTTGATCATGCATTTTTATCATGCATTGCATGATCAAATGATTATAATTTTAGTCTTGTATCTATTCGTGCCTCAGAAAAATAAGCTGTTACGGCCAAGACGAAAACCTTTGCCAAAGTTGTATTTGCTTTCATTGTTTAAATCTTTTGAGCTATTTCTTATATTGCCATGTAAAGATGTGTCTAACCCATATTTTGATATTTTTCCATGCTCTAACAACAGGGTAACTTAACAATAGTGCTGCAGAAGCCGAATATTTACTTTAGTAAAAAGAGGAAACTATAGTTTAGGTATTTATGTAACCTTTTTATTCCAGCTGTAATGACATCAAGGAGCCTAAAGCGCTGCCATTTAGAACAATATTCCGGAAGAGACGTCAAATCCTCTACAGGAACGTTGCCAAGCACTCGATTAATCGGTCAACAGCCCAGTTCAGCGATGCTGCAGGGAAACCGCCTGTCAAGGTGGCGAATCCTCGAGCCCACCTATTTGGCCCGCGCACTGGTCGTGCGTTTTACGCCCCTTACCAGTACACTGATAAGGCTAAAACAGATGATTTCTAGAATTAGCTTCGCTCTGGTTTTAGCAAAGCGTGTATCGTAAGCGCATGACATGTTTCGCTGTGACATTTCCATGTTTATGTGTGGCTGTGAAGTAACCGGTTGCGGATTATTTCCATCGTAATTTGTGGTGTTTTGCTATGTCTGATTGAATGATGCGTACGCTTAAATATTTAAATGATGAAACCGCTGCAAAGTGCATTATGTTCGATTAACTACATGGTTGAAACATGTGATGTGGCTGTGAATCATACATGCTAGCAATCCACGAGCTTCCCATAAACCGTTTGGCTGAATACACATTTTGATCTCGGGCTTATTTTAATCTGACATTAGCAGGAGTTCCACCGACAGATTGTACGCAGAGTCGCTCAATCAAACAACCTCCGAGCGATCGTCACAACGCGGGCAGACTATGACGAAGCTGTATGTAGGGTGCAGAGGAAGCTAGTAGAACAGCTTCATGCTAGCTGTTCGTCTGATATAAGGACGACTAAAAATTCACCTCTAGTATGCGTAACGCGACCATCCCCTTGGCGCGTGTCTTTGCCGGGCCCGGGACCAGGCCCCTAGCTGGGTCTTATTGGCTCGCGGGACTCCACCTACATAGTGAAATGAGCCTGGGTCACACTTGGCGTTAAGAGACACAGTGGGCATTCAATGAGCACTGGACATGGTACGTACCAGGGCACTAAAGAGTCGTACGTACAATGTCGTCTGACCCTAGCTCAGGTCACCAGATGTCTCAATGGTCAAAATAACTCAAACACTAGATAACCATCGACAGTGGGGAGAAACTCTGGAGAATGGAAATGACATAGGGCGGAACACGATCATAAGTCGAGTGGCAAAAACCATCGCGGCAAAGTCGTCGTTGAAACGTGAACGGTCGCACAAAAATCGGCAGAGTAGTGATATCCCGTCTCTAAGCAGGCCGTTCATCGCTATATGCGGCCCCGCGTGCAGCATGAGCGCGCTGTAACTGTGCAGGCGGTCCAGAGTGACAGCAGCATATGTAGAGGGAAACGATTGAACTTCCCGCGAGTTGGTTCAGCTGCATTCAACCAGGATATGAAGCTAGTACTCCTCTAAGAGCAGTCTCTGGTTGAGCTACACCAGCCATCGAACCTCCGATATGACTGCGTCCATTGGCTAGCTCAAAATCCCCTGTTCCCGAAATTGTGAAACAGCCATGTAAGATGATGGGATGGGACGTAATGACCCTTCATGGCTTCTCAGTCCACCACCATTGTGCACGCGGGACAAATCGCACTTGTCTCCGTGGAGGAAGCGTTGAATGAAAATGGGCAATTGGGCATCGGCGATAAGGTGACTGAGAGAGCAGAAGCCGAGGTAACAGCGGTCAAACTTCCTTCCGATTTAACGCTCTTTTTTTGTTCAGTAGGATTGCAGACTCAAGCCTACAGACCACTAAGGCCCAAAGTGGTGGTGCCAGGCCAGCTTCCTGGTTTTTTCATCTAGAAAGTGTGGCCAAACATTCCATTAAATTTCTTTGTGATCGTCAACGGCAAGGTCGAAGATATAGACTTGCAACTCTTATTTTAGCCTTCCTTTGGTCTGTTTAGTGTTTATAACCGTTCAGTATTTTGGTGGAGACGCTGGACAACCCGATATTTTGGATGCACGAGCATATGCACTGTGCAGGCATGTGTAAAGATGCGTGATGATCTCAACAAATAATTCCATAAATCAGTCTCTTTCTTGCCTTGCATGTGATGAAAGGGCCATCACTGCACTTACTTCATTCAGTTTGCGGTGTTCCCCGTCCGGCTCTTTTAACATTGCACATTGCTTTTACGTTTGGTTTCTAATTTCTATGCAGTCGAACGCATATACTGATATCGTAAAACGTACTAACACTTGAATTTATCTTGATTCGTAGGCCATGAACGACTTTTTGTTCCCAAGAATGTTAGGCATGCCGGATGGGTGGGTACTGGGTATGCCGCTGTTATCGATTTTTGAAAAGAATATGTGGTATAATATAGTTTGGTGAATTAACTGTTCACTTACTATGGCCATGCCACTTGCTAACTTAGTTTCTATCCACCTAGATACTGATGGGACATTCCAGCATTGTCTTACCACAGCACCTATGTACTTATGATACTGTCGACACTGAGAAGCGTTAATGAATTAATGAAACGACCAGTTCTGCTCAGTTCAATGCCTAACGTATAGCTTACAACAGGTGCAGAGCGGTAAGGTCAGAGCCTTCTGGTGATTCGGGTCTAACGGTCCACGATGATCACTAGTTTTTGGCAAAAAAGGGTGCCGCCTGTATCCCTCCCGATCGCTCTTACCGTCTATTTGACCCCTCATATCTAACGGTACCTGCCCGCTCGACCGGTTAAGGGGGTTTGACTTTCGGTACCAGTGGTACACCACGGTGTTTCATCATCCACACTGGCATGTTTTCGGGTTTGGTTTTGTGAAGGCGTTGGCTGTGACATGAAAAAAATGCGTACCTAACTATGTCGCTTTCAAAGAAATGGATGTTCGATAAATTATGTTATTAGCTTGGACAATAAGCAGGGCATGATTTTTTATTTCAGTTTTGTTGCTGTGTGACCATTTTGTACCTGTCGCGTCATAGGACACAAACATAGAGCAACGTTATTGGAGGAAACATTGGGCTAACAAGGTGGTGACAAAAAGCTGCTGGACCACCGTATCTTGCAGCCTTCCGAAAGGCCTGCAGGCCTTTGGATGGCTATGGTGTCAGTGGACAACATAGCCATCAAAGGTCCTAACCACCCTACGGGTAGTTTTTTTTTTCCGAAAAGAGATTATTCACCCCGATCTCGATGGGTGTTCACTTGTGCGCCTTTAGTCATTCAGGCTGGTTAACTCATAGACCACTATATATAGATAGACCACATAATTATATAATGATCTATGGTTAACTCCACCAGCCCCTCAATCAATTCTGATTGCTCAGAATTGCAATCAATTGATTGCACTTTACATGCGGTAGGTTCAGCACAGCATCATGGCGAACCATGATCTCCTGGGCCCGCTGGGAACGGATCAACGGGTCTGGGGGGCTGGGATGAGGGACAAAAGGAAGTGGTCAAAGTCTCCCATCAAAGCTGGTCGGAAGGCTGCAGGGGTCAGGGTGTCACTCTGAAAATTTATTGGTGTGGCTCTTATGACTGATTTAAGAAAACCTTCCAAAACTTTTCCCAGCATTCACCACAATAATGCTATCATGCAGTCGTAGAGCTATAGGACTCATGTTAAAATTAGAAATAAGTGTTATGGTTCGGGCGCTACCAGCCACCAGGACAATACCTACGATAGGTGCTGATTAGGAAGAGCACGGGAGATGACTGATTTGGGTATACATCATGGCCGGGAGAATCTTGAAGATTGAAGAACAGTTATTGTTGTGCACTTCAAGTCCTGTTGCATCTTTTATACTTAAATCAAATGTTGATGCCGGCTCATAATATAAAATTCACTAACATCTATTCACCAACATCGCGATGGACCATCCATCGATGCTGCTTGCCGTACGACTCTTTAGTGCCCTGGTACGACCCTAGTGCTGTTCTGTGCTGTCCTCTGGCGGCTAGGACTGCAGCGCCACCTACCACAATTACTGACCCAAGATAAGACAAAATATCGTATGGAAAAAGATCGTAGGAAAACGATCGTAAGATAAATATCGTATGTTGTAAAAGATCGTACGACAAAAGATCGTAAGCAAAAGATCGTAAAGCAATTGCTCGTATGAAAAAGATCGTAGGAAAATGATCGTAAGATGAAGATCGTATGTCGCAAAAGATCGTACGACTAAAGATCATAAGCAAAGGATCGTAAAGCGAAGGACCGCATGAAAAAAGATCGTAGGAAAATGATCGTAAGATAAATATTGTATGTCGCAAAAGATCGTACGACCAAAGATCGTAAGCGAAAGTTCGTAAAGCAATGGATCGTATGAAAAAGATCGTAGGAAAATGATCGTAAGATAAAGATCGTATGTTGTAAAAGATCGTACGACAAAAGATCGTAACGTTAAGTTCGTAAAGTAAATAATCGTATAGAATAGTGTTGTAGGAAAATGATAATAGCATAAAGCCCGTTAGTCGTAACATATTCTACGAAAAACCGTCACGTGCGTGTGCTGCTGTGACCTGTGGAATGCCCCTGTTTGGGTGCTCAAGTCTTATTGGGGGTGCTCAATCCAGCATTTGGGGTGCTGAAGCACCCCCAATGATAGGTATACAAATTCACCCATGCTTAGGTCACCTTATATAAAAAAGAAATCCGAGATATAGAAACTACGAATATTTATGACGCCATGTTATCCACTAACTTCGAAAATGTTCATGCCCACAATTAGGTATATCAAGAAATTCACAATTATGAGTGTGACTACCATGGGCTTCGATGCTATAGAGCATGCGTGTGGATTCTGAACACACAAAAAAAAAGACATTGGGTCAGGGGCGTCACAGGCATAGGTGTGCCCCTCACGGCTGGGTGTGCCCCCTATGCCAAAGAGGACCCTCACATTTCACATGTTACCAAAAATATCGTACTATTTTTTAGTGGATTATTCATAATACATCGAAGGCATCGATAAATCAATAGCAATCCTGTAGAGTTTGTTTCAAGATTTCCATTTTGCAATCGTGGCTTTGGAATATCGACAACATTTTAGGAGCAAAAGGTGGAATAGGAGCAAAAGCGCCGCGAGTGGAATTGCGAGGGACGCCACAGGTCTAACAGAGGCACCACAGGCCTGGCAAGGGCACCATCAGTCTCGCAGGGACACATTGGGCCTGTTAGGTGCACCACGTGCCAGTCGGGGGCACCACAGTCCTGTTAGAGCCCAAGGGCACCAGCGGCCTAGAAGGGACACCACAGGCCTGCCTGCCAGGGGCACCACCACAAGCCTGTCATGCACACGCAGCCTCTCGTTGACACTTCAAGAGTCCAGGCTTGTCAGAAACACTACAGGCCTGCCAGGACCCATGTGCAAAAAAAAAAACTGAAAATAGGGCAACACCTGAATGAAGTGGTCGAAACCGAAGTTCGAGGTCCGTTGAGTTTTTATGTTGGGTATAGGTAGGGGCACCACTTCGATTCATTACTCTCCCCTCGGAGTTTTCCTGGATCCGCCCCTGTACATGCGTGCGTGTGCACCTGGGGGCTTTGGGGTGCCCCTTTGGGGGTGCAGAAGCATTATTAGGGATGCAAAAATGATGTACACAATACACATCCACATCCATGTGCTAGAGCCCCAAAGAAAGGAACAGGACAGCTGAGTCCTTTCTGT